CTTGCCTTGCCTTAATGCAATCCAATGTAAAACAAAAAAGTTATGATTGATGAAAGTAGTAAATCGGTCAGATTTGACCCGAACACAACAGGAGGGTTAAATTAAATGTATTATGTCAACAGATTTCATATAACTGTATTAGGTTAGTTGAAAGCAATAATATTAAGTTTTAAAAAAAAAAAAATGAGGTTCAACTTAATATTATTGCTTTCAACTAACCTAATACAGTTATATGAAATCTGTTGACATAATACATTTCATTCAGTTTTTTTCAGTGTGATGTAAAAACCATTATAAAGGAAAATAATATTATCAATACTGTCCTGTGTGTTGCTGTTTCTAATGACTGTGGTCCCTCAGCGGCCTCTCTGCGGTCCCAGGACTGTCCCTACAGCGGGGCCGAGCTGTCCTGCCTGGACCCCCGCTGGCTGCACGACTTCCCCCAGAGACACTGCTGCCGGTGCCACCTGGGCCCCGGACACACCTGCGGTACGTCTCAGCTGCAGAACATCAAACTATTAGTGTATCCTCACTTCAGTGGCCGTTTGTCCAAAGTAAAGAGTTCTTAGGCCACTAACCCGTCAGTTATATAAACGTCACTTTATGGTTTTTAGAGTAAAAGGCTAACGGTAGGCTGTAAAGGAACCACAGCACGGTCACATGACTTCACATCACCACCGCTAAGCTAAAGGCGGCTAATGTAGGGCGTGATGATGTTTAGTCTCATTTAGACACTTGTTCACCGTTTTTAAATTCACCTGTGGGGTAAACATTTACGTATTTTAGTCGTAGAACCAAACTTTAAAGTCTCTTCAGCTTTTCTTAACAACAGACCTTATTTCAAGCGTCTAACTACAAACACATTTAAAAAACAGTTGGTTTTGAGAAGAGGGAACAGGAAGTGGTAGAACGCTGACTCATTCACAGGTTGTAGGACTCATTCCTGCACCACTCTGTACAGTGTGATGGCAGGTGGGTGAATTGATGTGTGTGTGATGTTCAGGTCCGGTGCACCTGATCCCGTCTCTGTGCTGTGAGGAGAGCTGCAGTCTGGGCCGCAGCCTGGACGTCAGCGCCTTCCCGTCCCAGACCAGCCTCAGCGACGGGTGAGGAAACACAATATACTGAAACAAAAATTCATTGAAATAACGGTGATAATCTTTCACTTTTTAAAGTATAAATACTGCACATTTTTGCCCCTGAACAGAACTCAAAATGAAAACCCCAAAGAGTATCTAAATCCTAACAGGAAGCTCAGCTCAAGGCTTTATCTTTCAAATTAAAATAAAAGGTGAGGTTTATTTTCAAAATAAAAGATCCATAAAGTATCTAAATCCTAACAGGAAGCTCAAGGTGAGGTTTATTTTCAAAATAAAAGATCCAGAAAGTATCTAAATCCTAACAGGAAGCTCAAGGTGAGGTTTATTTTCAAAATAAAAGACTCAGAAAGTATCTAAATCCTAACAGGAAGCTCAAGGTGAGGTTTATTTTCAAAATAAAAGACTCAGAAAGTATCTAAATCCTAACAGGAAGCTCAAGGTGAGGTTTATTTTCAAAATAAAAGACTCAGAAAGGAACTGTATCTGAACAGTAAGCGCTGGATGATGCATGTCTTTCAAAATAAAAGCCCCAGAAAGCAACAATACAGCTACTGCTTTCAATACCTACTCAGTGCTGGCATATTAGCACCGGGCGGACAGTCAACATTTCTCAGAGGGGAATTTTCTACATTTAATTGGATTCTAGGAGACGCTGGGAAACAACTGGGGAATCTTGCATTAAAGTTAAGCACCACAGGGTGTGGCTGTGAACAGAGATCCTGGAGATAATAACCACAGCTTTTTTTTTTAAACTATGATTCACAGAAATACACACCAGGATGAGGAGGCAGGACATCCAGAGTCAGGCTGCAGAGAGGCCGCTGGGATGAGAGGAGCTCCAGAGCCTGCAGAGAGTGTGGAGCACGGAGAGGAAGAGGAAAGGTGTACGTCGAGGGAGAACTCACCTGAGAGGAGCAGACGGAGCTACAGTGAAGCTGTGACGGATGCACTTCTCCCCAAACAGCAGGCATCAAGTCAGGACGGTGAGGAGACGCATGACTGTCCTGCAGGAGACCATTAGGATGCCGACCCAGATGTTAGCATTTCTCGACAAACAGCCAATGGGATTTCTCCATGGGATTTTAGATTAGAAACAATCTCTGTGGCGAACAAACGTTTATTTAACTTGCACGTTTTGTTCAGTTGGGTAATCTTCACATATTAAAACCACTTTATGATTTTTTTAAACAAAAAGCTAATGTCACCACCGCTCAGCTAAAGGCGGCTAACGTTAGGCGTCAAGACGTTTAGTAGTCTCATAGACACTTGTTAGCAACCGCCGTTTTGAAATTCACCAGTGGGGTAATTACTGACGTATATCAATATTTGTTTTACACTTAAATTAATAATCTGTGCTCCACCTCTGGAGAACAAAGAGGATATCTTAAATAAATCTGCAGTTTTTCTATAATTACTTTAGACATGAACTGCTTGCTTGTAATTCCTGCTGTGTGATGTCCTCTGCTGTTGATGTCCATGAGGAGCAGCTGGTTAAAAAAACAAGACATACCAGACGGGTTTCTTTGATGTAGACAAGACGATTCCCCCCCCCGTGCCTCTGGGTAGATTTGTTACTAATCACCGCGCGCCTCTTCCTGCTCTCTCTCTCTCTCTCTCTGCAGGATGACATGGATGTCTTTGGCTCGTGTTGCACCCTTGAACCACCCCGGACTCAACAACAGCCGCGGCCAGATCCCGGATCAGATTACCCAGCAGCCACTTCCTCCCCCCCCCCACCACCTCCACCATACAGACACTATCAAGTGCAGCCGCCTCTTTGAAATGCCTCCTGCTGTGCTGACCTCAGAGCCCCTCCTCACAGGGTCAGAATACAGTATGTACATACATGCAAACAAAAGCACTGCTGAGGAAAGCACCGGGGCACTGAGATAAAAAACACACACACACACACACACACACACACACACACACACACACACACACACACACACACACACACACACACACACACACACACACACACACACAGAATGTGAACTCACTGGCCCAGAAGTTGGAACTGAATGAAGTTGGAGTATTGATTTATGACGGTGAATCAAAGCGAGCCGCTGCTTTGCATATTATTCACATGTAGGAGAACATGGCCGCTGATCCTGCAGCTGGTGTTATGAAGCTTTTTGTGTGTAAGAAAAATGTGAGGCGTGAAGAAAAAAAGAAAAAAGTGTCAGAAAGTGGTTTATTAATGTTGCACATTGAAGACAATCTTTCATGGAACAATTAAGACGAGGAATGTGATGTAGATACTGTAAAATATTACATAGGTCAATATTTTTGTAACATAGACTGTTTCCCTTCCCCCTGTTATAGTGTTATTGTAAACATTTTGTTTTTGTAAATAAAGCACTTGAATACGTTTAAATAGTGAGCAGTTCTTGTGTTGTTCTCCAGTGAATTCATTCAAAGTGATTTATGTATCTCTTGTAAGCAGTTAGAAAGTACGATTTTAATGAATGCCTCAGGCTGCCGCCATTCAGCCTTTCAGCCACACCCCATTCCTTTTTAATGCACATTTTCACTAGGTCTCATATCTGCAAGTCTTATAATAATACAACATTTTGATCAGCAGGATAGTCTTCATGAAACAACCCAATTTGTGATTTTTGAAGCGTAAAGTCAATCTCCAGAAATACCATGAGGCTATAGAGGACCGGGTGTTTTTATCTCTTGCAAAAACAACAGCTCAAATTATTTTTCAGTTGAATCACTTGAGCTTCTCTGGCCTGCAAGGGTCAACATGAGAGGAAAATAATGGTTAAAAGGACTGTATTACTTACACTGTAGGGCCAGGTAGCTCAAAGGTACAACAAGTTTTTAATATTCTGTTTCAAGCTTGTCTTGTCTTTGTTCAAATCAAAACTAATCAAAGGGAAAATGCTCCTGGGGGAAAGTAGTCATCTCATTTAGGAACTTGTTAGCAACTGCCAATTTTAAATTCACCACCAGTGGGGTATTTACTGACGAAGAACAACACGTTCAAGTCTCTTCAGCGTGTGTTGACCACAGACCTTATTTCAGGATAACACATTCAAAAACCATTAACTTCAGGGAACAGGAAGTGGTCATATCCTGACAAATGTATGTGTTTTAGTAATCATTCCTGCACCTCTCTATGTCCAGGCCATCAATCAGGCTGCTGTGTGTGTGTGTGTGTGTGTGTGTGTGTGTGTGTGTGTGTGTGTGTGTGTGTGTGTGTGTGTGTGTGTGTGTGTGTGTGTGTGTGTGTGTGTGTGGTGTGTGTGTGTGTGTGTGTGTGTGTGTGTGTGTGTGTGTGTGTGTGTGTGTGTGTGTGTGTGTGTGTGTGTGTGTGTGTGTGTGTGTGTGTGTGTGTGTGTGTGTGTGTGTGTGTGTGTGTGTGTGTGTGTGTGTGTGTGTGTGGTAACCTAGCTGCTCAGGTCAGGACCAGATACAGGTCTCATATCTCTGCGGGCAAAGCCACTGTAACAGGGAGCAGCTGCAGCCACAGCCCATAATGAGTGAGTCTGTTGATGCCGGCAGCTTTGTTAACCAAGCTGGATAGGAGTCTCTACTTTAAAGTGGTGTGTAAACAGCTTCAACGCTGTGTGAAGTTAACAGTATTTTATACACTGTGTTGCAACAACTCCATTTAAGACTTGAACACAACTTTTTCGTTTCTCACTGAAAGGTTTTTACATAAAGTGAACGTCCCGCTCAGACCTCGTCCTCCTGACAGACAAAACAGATGGAGCGGTATTAATCTGAAGTCTAAACAATGATCACATGACAGGAAGAGCAGATTAAGTATTCTTCCTCACGCTGATTTGATCAGGAAAAAACAAGGTTCGGCCAGTATGTGAGCTGAGAGGAAAATATGGCATGAGGGGAAGGAACTAGTCAATGGAAATAAAAGGCAAATGAAATGATGAAAAATGTGACTTTAGTGAAATTCATGCTTATTATTTAATGTTCAGTGTTATAAAAAGGTGATAAAACATGTACAAACTTACATTTTTTTATATTAAATGAACAATATGACAAAATGGATCCCAGAAGATCTGTCAATGGGACACAATTTCACATAATCTGCAATAATCAACATTCAGAGATTATCAAGTATAAAGTAGTTTATTCTTACCATATTATATTATCAGTATAATTACCCACATTATATAATCATAAGTCAATGTGACTTTAACAGAGAAAGCAACATAGAAAAAGTTCATTTACAGACAGAAGAGAGATGCTGAGTAATGAGCGTGCATCCTGTGTGCAGCATCAGTGCATCGTCTCTTTTGAAAAGTTCTCGTCTGTTTCCATGGTTACAGCGTCGTCCTTCAGCTCTCAGAGTCCATGAGGAAGGTCTCAAAGTTCGGGTTGAGCTCAGAATCCAGCGCGTCCACAAACTCCTCCATGGTGGGCTGTCTCTGCAGCATCCCTGTTAGAGAACACACAGCAGGCTTTAGAGAGTGTGTGTGTGTGTCCTAGCATTACTATACTTGTGGAGACCTAAATCTGTTTACACAGTCACGTGTGCGGACTCGCCTGCCTTATGGGGACAAAATGGAAATAAGGGGAATCATTCATTTTAGGGTGAGGCTTGGTTAGGGTAAGTCTCCAGGAAATGCATGTAAGTCAATGTAATGTCCCCTGAAGTGATGTATAAATGGTGTGTGTGTGTGTGTGGGATTACATGTAATGGGTAATCAGGATACTATAAGAGGTAACTGTATTCCCTTACAGTTACATAAAAAAAGGCTTGATCAGATTACATTTCAATAAATTGGGGATTACAGTAAAAAAGAGTATGTTGTGTTCATTGTAAAATGATCAGATTTCATTTCTTCTTTGTAAGCTGTACTGTCAACGGATAATACTTCTACTAAAGTAACATTTAGCATTCAGGACTTTTATCGTTAATGGAGTATTTTCAGACCATTTACTTTTATTTAAAGAGGCCCTATTCTGTTTTTTGCTGTTTCCCCTTCTCCTTAGTGTGTTCTAGGTTTGTGTGCATGTAAATGGTCTGCAAATGCTAAAATCCATGTGTTCCCTCCAGAGGGAGTTTTTCTCCCACAGCCTGCCTGAAATGCCTCCATTGGACTCCTTTGTTTACTTCTGGAACATAGTGACATCACTATGTAACATTTGCGTTTCTATTGGCTAGCGCTCAGCCACATTGTACATGATAGGCTAAGGGGCGGGACATCTCTAAGAGGTTGACCAATCACAACAGAGCCGGCCAGCTAACCAATCAGAGCAGACTGGGCTCTGGTTTCAGACAGAGGGTGAAAAGAAATCTATCACGGACAAAGACATTGCAATTAAGGGTTACAATGTGTTTCGTTGTGACCGTCCCAGAAAAGGTGGTGGTGTTGCAATTTATGTAAAAACAAAATGTCATGCTACCATCCAATCATCTGTGTCTCTTAGCAGACAATTTGAACTACTTGCGCTGAAATTGGAACTTCTTAAGGGTCAGTTTATCACTGTTGTAGGGTGCTATAGACCCCCTTCAGCAAGCATTGAGGCTTTATCATCATTGAGTCATCAGTTATCTTGCTTGGATTTTAATGAGATTTTAATTGCTGGAGACTTTAATTGGGACTGGTTGTCCTCTGTCTCCGATAGTTTTAAATCAACCTGTGACTCTTTTAATCTTATGCAATTTATCAATAGCCCAACTCGTCCTAATCTTAAACACCAAGATATATGGTCTCTTATCGACTTATTTTTAACAAATGCGCCTCATAAGTTTTTGGATATTGGTATTTTTGTAAATGATATGAGTGACCATTGCGCTATAGCTACAATCAGGCAAGCTAAGCTTCCAAAAACAAGACCACAAATAGTTTTTAAACGTGACTTTAAACATTTTTGCGAGCAAGCATTTTTTCATGACCTGTGGGATTTTGATTGGAACAAGATCTCTCTCATTAGGGATGTTGAACTGGCATGGGATTATTTTCATGAGGCTTTTACTAGAATTATAAACACACATGCTCCTTTCCGCAAATGTAGGGTGAAAGGGCTAAAAAAATCCCTGGTTTAGTCCTCAACTGGCCAGCATTCTAAAAGAAAGCGATATTGCCTGGTCAAGGGCCAGAAAATCGAAATCCCAAGTGGATTGGATTGTTTTTAGACAGCTCCGAAATCATTTCACCTTCCTAGTTAAAAAGGCTAAATCTGAGTACTACATTTCTAATACTACTAGTAACTTAAATGATCCAAAGAAATGTTGGAAGGTAATAAAAAACTCATTTGGAACAGAAACTAAAAATGAATTACCAGCCTGCATTGTTACAGACTCGCAAACCCTCACTGACAAATCGGCCATTCTCAACTGCTTTAATGAACATTTTATTTCATCTGGTTCTTTGTTTGAGTCCCTACATTCGGGCCCTGGACAGAACGTTGATTGCTCACCACCTTCATCCCATCCCATGGCTCAGCCATTCAATTTTACTTTTATCGAGGTGATAGAGGTCCATAAAGCATTGCAGAATCTGGATCCACACAAATCGGCAGGTCCGGACAAACTTCCTCCTCATTTTCTTAAATTAGCAGCAGACTTTATAGCTGAGCCGCTTACTTATCTTTTTAATTTAACTCTTTCCAACAATGAGATTCCTAACATATGGAAATCTGCATATGTTCTTCCTTTACTGAAAGGAGGGGATCCCTCATCTGTTAATAATTATAGGCCAATTTCAAAATTATGTGTTGTAGCGAAGGTCCTCGAAAAGCTTCTCAGTGAACAACTTAAATTATTCTTGGACACAAATGATATTTTGTCAGAACACCAATCCGGTTTTAGAAAACAGCACAACAACTGCTGCTATTAAAGTGGTGAACAACATAATTGAGGCATTGGACTGGAAAAAGTATTGTGCAGCTCTATTTATTGATTTGTCAAAGCGTTTGACACAGTTGATCATATCATCCTGACGGAAAGACTTCACAGTATCGGCTTATCTAGGCATACTGTAGGTTGGTTTTTAAATTATTTATCAGCGAGAACCCAATGCGTCCAATTTTCTGGGTCCTTTTCTTCCTTCCTCCCGATAGCAAAGGGTGTGCCACAAGGTTCCATATTAGGACCCATTCTTTTTACCATATATGTAAATAATCTATGTAATCATTTAGCAAATGCTTCTTACCATTTTTATGCAGATGACACTGTTATTTATTGTTCCTCCGCTTCTATAGAGCAAAGTCTAGATTTCCTCCAGTCTGCCTTTGATGTCATACAAACCCATTTATATCAACTAAAGTTGGTATTAAATGCTGAAAAATCCAAAGTGATGATATTTTCGAATGGCAAAAAGTTACCATCTATTCTACCCAAGATGTGTACTGCACAAGGGACTGACATTGAGAGGGTCACTACTTACACATATCTGGGATTTCTTATTGAACAGAACTTGTCTTTCAAGTTACACACGGAAAATGTTGTTTCAAAGCTACAAATAAAATGAGGTTTCTTTTACAGGAATAAATCCTGTTTATTTTTTCAGACAAGGAAACATTTGATATCTGCAACGTTTTTACCTGTATTAGATTATGGTGACCTGCTATACATGAATGCCTCTGACCAATGCCTAAAGAGCTTGGATACTGTGTACCATTGTGCCTTACGATTTATCACTGGATGTAAATATCGAGTACACCATTGCACTTTATATGCTGCTGCTAATTGGCCATCTTTGTCTGCTCGCAGACTTTCCCATTGGTTGGGTTTTATTTATAAATCTCTGTTTGGGTTGGTTCCCTCCTACATTTGCACATATATGTGTCAAAGAGAAAGTCTGTATGGCCTGCGCTCCCAAGATTTTATTCAGATGCTGGTCCCTACAGTGAAAACAAAACTGGGTAAAACAGCTTTTAGATATGCTGCCCCCACAGCTTGGAACAATGTACAGAAGGAGCTGAAACTCTCAGATGTAATCACTATGGGGGAATTCAGGTCCATCTTAAAGGACAGAGAACACGACACCATTGGTAGATGTGAGTGCTCGTATATCCTAAAATCGTTTTAAATTTTGCCAGTTTTGAATGATTTTAATAGTTTGTTTTACTTCGCATATTGACTGGCTAATGTGCCATTTTATTTGTGTTTTACAGCTGTATTTGTCTGCCTGTCATGTCTGTGTTTTATTTGTTGTAACTTTGTACATGCTGCCCTTCTTGGTCGCTCTTGGAAAAGAGATTTTAATCTCAATGAGTCTTTTACCTGGTTAAATAAAGGATATATATATATTTAAAAGAGGTGCTGCAGCACAGGCAGTATGAGAAAAATAAAGAGCTTTTTGAACATTAAAGTATGGAAACATGTGACAGTAGAGGCACAACATACAAATCTCCCTCCTCTCTCTGTATGTTACAGTGCTTCACACAGCGCTCACACACACTGTGTGTGTTGCCGTAGAGCAGATATGAGTGTGCGGCGCTGGGAATGTCTGTCTGTGTTTTCAGAGGCCGCTCATGCGTGGAGGACTCCCTCACTCGCTTTACAATTCAGCTGCACGCCCGCTTTGAAGTCAGTTCATTTCCCCTTGTGTAACTGCCAATGTAAATAGGCACTCACCCCCCCCCCCCCTCTTTCCTGCATGGGTCACTTCCAACGCACACACTCAAACACACACAAGCATGTCTGCACAGGCACGCATGAATGGAGTCGCAAAGAGTTTCACACAGGGAACCTGAATGCATGGACACACAGGAAGATATGGACACACACACACACACACACATACCATGTATACATCACTTCAGGGGACATTACATTGACTTCCATGCATTTCCTGGAGACTTATCCTAACCTTAACCATAACCAACACATGCCTAAGCCTAACCCTTACCCTTACCCTAACCCTAATCCTAAACCTAACCAAGTCTTCACCCTAAAATTAATGATTCCCCTTATGGGGACCTCCAATTTGTCCCCATAAGGGAAGCCAGTCCCCACACGTGACTATGTAAACAGATTTAGGTCCCCCCAAGTATAGTAATGCTAGACCACCCACACACACACACACACACACACACACACACACACACACACACACACACACACACACACACACACACACACACACACACACACACACACACACACACACACACACACACACACACACACACACACACACACACACTCTTTTATTCTGGAACAGGTATAAAGTGAGCGCAGGTTTGGCCCGCTGAGAGCAGAGAGGGAGATTATCATCTCCTCTTACCCACCGGGCGCTCCCTGCCCCTCAGCTATAAGATGATACCAGCATGCAGGGGTCCCTAAACGCATCACAACCGCAACGCCCCTGGATCCCAGGGGCCGAGGAAGCCACATGAAAGTGATGATTTCCAACCATTAATGATAACCCTAATTAAAGCGCTGCGGGACATTTCTTTTGTTGTGACCACTGAATGTCACTTGAT